GAGAGAGAGAGAGAGAGAGAGAGAGAGAGAGAGAGAGAGAGAGAGAGAGAGAGAGAGAGAGAGCTCAGCGCAGTCGTAGTGCGAAAAGCGAAAACGATGGGCCCCACTTGACCGCTCACTCACACTCACACCGGCAGCAGCGATGTCCGGGCCGTGAACCTCCTGATAGTGCCACTGTGAAATACGTCCTGATTACAGATTTTTAAAAAAGGTTGGTGCTGAATTCTAACGTCAAAGATTCGTCCTGTCTGCGGGCACCTGCAGGTAATTAAATGGAATCTTTGATTTAATTTCATTGTTTTGTAAAGGAAGGTAAGATCTCTTGTTAAAAAAGAAGTTAATGCTAAATTCTAACGATAAAGATTCGTCCTCTTTCCAAACACCTTATGGTAATTAAATGAAATTTTGGATTTATATTCATTCTTTTGTAAAGGACACAAACAAATAAAATTCAAACAATAAAAACTCGTCTTGCTTGTTGGCACTGAAGGTAATTAAATGAATTCTTGGATTTATTTTCATTATTTCGTATGCTGTAGTAAATTTCGGCTTCTTGCTTTGGACATAATTTTCGCGTGCTGTTGTTAGATCATCTTTCATTGAGACATCTATAACATTTTTACGGAGAGTTTTGACTGAGATATTTTTCTGTAACATTGATTAATTTAGGATATCAAAATAATAAGAATGTTTGTATTTTCATCGACCTCGATAAGTACTCAACACAAAGAGGTTTGCCATGGGAAAAAATGAACAGGTAATACTTTCGGTTGGCCATTTAAAAAGTAGAACGATGTTTTGATTTTGACATTTGATTCCTATAAAGTTGTTAATTGAGATTGAAAGGATACCGGTATGATAATATCGTTTATTTTTTTCAAATTGACTGCCTGCAGATATACGATGTTTTGCTGGTGTGGGTTTTTAAAAAAATTTTTTTTTTTAGGAAATATTTTTTTTTTTTTAGGAAATATTTTTTTTAAGGGGGAGGGGGTCCAGGATAGTATGGAATCGACTCGAGCTTTTAGTTCTGGTTTAAAAAAAACCATCAACAAAATTCCACCAACAACAATCTTTGATTCATGTTCTGGGTGGTGATTCTGGCATTTATTACACGGATTCATGTGGGTAGATTGTTCAAGGGTTGAAAGTTCCTGGCTGAAGCATTGATCCAACTGTCGAAAACATTGTGGGATTTTGCCGTTGTCGTTTTCCTTACTAATCAAGTATCATCGAGATTGGTTTTAATTTCTTTCTTTCTTTCTATTTTTTTTAAAACAGCGGATCTACATTTATCAGGGTGGGGCTGATATGAAATTGGTTTATTGCTGTCCTAAATTACCCCCCCCCTCCCCCC